ATTAAATGTGGTGTACCACAAGGCTCTATATTAGGGCCATTATTCTTTTTGTTGTACATCAATGATTTGCCACATTGTCTAAACAAAACAAAACCGCGGTTGTTTGCTGATGACACAAATTTGACTGCTTCAGAAAATTCTATGACTGACCTAGAGACTGCAGTAAATTCTGATTTAGAGAACCATAGAAAATGGTTAATAGCCAATAAACTTAGCCTCAATGTAGCTAAGACAGAGTTTATGTTGATTGGCTCTAAACCTATGATCAAAAATATTTCTGATTCTTGCCCAAATGTTTACATTGAAAATATACACATTAAACAAGTTCATGAATGCAAAACTCTAGGAGTAACAATTGACCAGCATTTATCTTGGAAAAGTAATACCGAAAATATTTGCAAAAAAGTTACAGCAGGAATCTCTGCTATTCGTCGGATCAAACCATTTGTTGATCAAGATACACTTATTTTGATATATAACACTATTGTTCGTCCGTACTTTGACTACTGCTGTGTAGTATGGGATGTATTTGGCGAAACTCAATCAAAACGACTGCAAAAACTGCAAAATAGAGCGGCAAGAATTATTCTGAATATAAGCAATGACGTAGATTATACGATTGCGTTACGTACTTTGTGCTGGGAGCCACTCCAAACTGAAAGGAAGAAAACTAAAGCAAGAATGATGTATAAGTTATTAAACAAAATGGGCCCAAAATCACTCACAAATCTATTTTCGTTTAAGAGTGAGAAAACTAATTACCACCTTCGGGATGTCTCAAGTGGTCTTTATTTACCAAAACCACGTACAAATAGCATGAAAAATAGTTTTATGTACGACGGAGCAAACATTTGGAATTCTATACCAAAAGAAATTAGGGGAAGCAAGTCACTTTCTTCCTTTCGAAATAAAATCGCTGCTCACATTAGTGCTTGGTAACCTTTGTAAATATAACTTACCTGTAAATAGCTCAAAACATTTGTTATATCTTTTAAATTTATATATTACTGTAATAGCTTAGCTTATCCTTATCATATTCTGCATGTAAAATAATTTTCTGGCACACGCCCCCCGTGGAAATCAGCTACGGTAAATAAAGTTCTACTACTACTACTACTACTCTAGACCCGCATGCCTGGTGGTCACCAGACGGCCATTGGCTACTTCCACAAAACTGAAATTCATAACAGGCATAACAGAACATTCCTCATACCACATCTCAATGTCCATTAAGAGCTGGTTCTCCTTGCTGGTATCCCCTTCATCTTCTTCAATGAGTAAAACGCCAGCGATGTCTTGAGTTATAGTTGTAGCATCATGACCACATCTCAATTCATTGTCCACCAGTATGATATGGTCTTGTGAGAGCTGAAAGTCAGAAGAAACCTGTATTGTACTAAGCTGTATGGTAAAGCACGGGGATTAGTGTCTTAGCTGGAAGACCGTGTTGGTAATGTCACCGCGGGCAAAACTGGAAGAACACGACAAATTAAACACGAAAAGTAGAATGTTGCTTCTTACAACAGGCAGAATTAATCGTAAAAAGTTTGCAAAATTTAGTTTGTGAAAATTGGTAAAGTGATCCATATAAGCATTTATAATATAGCATTTGTAAACTCTGAACGCTGATTGGCTAAGAGCCGTGTTGATATAACTCAAAATCTGAACCCCTCTTGCAATATGTATATGTAGAAGAATGCTTTCACTTCGACGCTACCAAATAGCGCAGTTTATCTCCGTACATTTCACAATACCTGTTGTGTAACGAGATTAATGCATTTAAAAATACACTGCACATCGTTTCTATCTGTTTGATCTACGGAAAATAAGAATGCAAATAGTAATCAGTACTGAACAACGAC